CCCCGCCCGCCGGCCCGAGATACGAGGCTGTGACGCCGCCCCGCCGTACCGCCGCCTCGTCGCGTCGCGAATCACCCGCGCCGCGCGCCGTGGGGTATATCACCACGATATCGTCCCGATATCGCCTCGATATCGGCACCGCCACCCGACAAATTGAATTTGTGCGGCGGGTTTACGACTGAGACGCGCCGTGGCGCGGCGTGGCGCGAGGGTGCCGTGATGGCACCCTGGAGGACCCCGGCGGCGGCGCTGGGGAAGTCGTGGGGAAGTCCCGCCGCACCGCGCGGTCCGCGACGTCTCCGCGCCGCGCTCTTGGCCCCCATACGGTCTCCGCCCGGCCCGGCGCTGCGACAGCGGAGGATTGCATCGTTTTTGTACCTCCTCACATAACACAGTCCGCATAGGTCCCGCGATGAATAAAGGATTGGGTGCGGTTTGCACCAACTCGATAACTGTAAAAGAGAAGGATTGGCAGGTGAGAACGTCAAGTTATTGGGATGGGTAAAAGTGCTATACGTCTTTCGTTTCGTTGGGAAAGCTGCTCGCTCGTCGTTGTTCCAGCAGAACGGAAACAGATGTCCTCCGAAATAGCGTCCCGCGTCCCGCATCGACCTACTACTATGTGTGGTGCCGCGGCTACAGTCAGTAGAAGTCACTCTCCGCCCGTGAGATGCCGGTGCTGCAGAGAGGCGACCTTGCATCATGCATCGAGGGAATCGCTCCCACTCGAAATAACTTTGAAAAAGTCGTGCATTCGACATGGATGTCGGCATCACCAAAAGGCATACGGGGCGATCAACGCGAGGGTCGACGATAGCGAAGGGGCCGTGGGAGGGGGAGGAGGAAGCGAGCCGCCTCGCAAGGAGCGATCAGGGAGTGTCCCATGTCGCGATGCACCCCAAGCCCACCAATCTTTTCAATCTGAAGGTCGCATTTTTTTAAGCACACAAACATGCATCCATACATATGCAATGATCATCCAATGCTACTTCAAAAGAAACGAAGCAACAGTGGCCGGGGTATCCCAGTGTTATGGGATTTTCCGCTTTTCCATCGAAAAAATAAAACACAAACAACTCGATCTACAAAATTTTATCATCTACAACTCATTATCAGGTATACGTACGTTATTAATTATTGCAGACTCTTCTTTAGTTACTGGACGTTTGGGTGGGTTGCACATAAAAACTGTTGGCGTCTGGCGATGCTGGCGCTGAAATAGTGGCGCCCCCTAGTAGGAGGTTTTTCGTGTATGTATACCAGGTACCAGGTAGCTGACAAACCCTGCGCACTTTGTAGGTATACTATACCGCATGCAGGACTGAGGGTGGGTTGCCTACTCGCTACTCGCTCGGCGCCGCATGTGAGCCGATGTGAGCGATACAAGTAGAACCGAGTGAGTAGAAACGTAGAGATGTTACAGATCATGAGGCACCCTGGATTGACTTTTTTATACACACTTACGTATTTCACTATTGCGTACTGTTTTAAACGCAATTTTGTTGAGAACTGCAAATAAATTTCCAAATTTGTTCATACTTGAGCTGAAAATAATAGGCAATAGTGCATGCACTGTGAAATACGCAAGCTGCGTACAAAAAAGTTCGTAATAATGTAGTGTGCACACCTCCACAGCGCACCCACTGTGTGTCACTCCCCACTATCCCCCCCCCCCCTACACACACACACATCATACCTCCACGTTCAAATGCACGCAACGATGTCTCGATTGCAGAGAAAGTTAGAGAAAATGTGAGGGACTTATGGGAGACGGGGGGAAACACAGAGACAACGAACCACTCTTCATAACCAGGATGTATGTGCCAGGGAATGAGTCCTATACGACGGCACCTCCCCGCCCTGCTCCCCTCCCTCCCCGTCCGCGCTCGCGGATTCTGATAACGCGATGCAGAAAATTTGCCACCCTGGCTGGTTCGGGGCGGCGCTGCGGGCCCGACTGCCGCTGGCTGCGCCGCTACTCTGCTGATTCCTTCCGCGGCTCCCGGGGGGGACGGCTGCAGAGGAGTCTAATCGCCATAAACAATAACGACCGACATCCATTCCGCCGCAGTTCTATGCGAAAAAGGCGCGGCGTGGCGTGGCGTTTTTGCGAGGCGCCGCCGGCCGACTACCCCCCTCCCTAGGCCCTCCTCCCTTCCCGCCTTCACCTCCCCGTCCCAACCCCCGCTCTTCCCTTTCTCGAAAGGCGCTACTTTCCGTGCGAAAAATAAAGGTATAATGGGTGAAATCGAATTACAGTGGAGACCCGCAGATCGCGAGCGCGCCAGGCGGGGCAGGGCGCGGCGGGGCGCGGAGGGGCGCGGCACGCAGGCAAGGCACGCCACGCCACGCCGAGGCGCGGGGCCCTGCAATATAAATGGATTCGAAGGCGACCGAGGCACTAGCAGGGGCGGCTCCAGGAGTGGGAGGGGGGCGGGGGGTGAGAATGGGACTGGGGGCGGCGCGGGGGCCGGAGGGGCGGGTAGGCCCCGCGCGCTGCACGCCGCCGCCACCGCCGCCCTTTCAGTACTGCAATACGTGCCGGATAATGGCCTCATATACTTGCCAGGAACTGCACGGCAATTGCTTCTTCTTCTTCCTTCCGCCAGCCCGCCCCTTTCTTTTGGTGCTGTGTCTTGCCGGGCCCCACGGCAATCCACCGGGCAGCCGCGCCGCGCGCGCTAGTTTTGGGGGAGAGCGAGTGAGAGCCGGGGGAAGGCGTTGGAGTCGCGAAAATAGAGACTTCTGCACTCCAACAGGCTCTGTGGCCGGCCGTGCATAGAGCGTCAGCGAAACGGCAAATCGAAAAGTGTATTGTTGGCATTAGTCTCTCGAAGACTAAGGATGATAGCCAAAATAATGTTTGGGTGGTTCGAAGGGGTTTTCACTTGCGTAATACACTGTACCAAAACTAGGTGGTATTACGCGTAAAAATTTTAGAATTTCGTCTTAAATGGTGGAATTTGGTTTGCAAAGCCTTTGTTATACCGGCGTAATACCGCGTAATGCACGTTATATGTAATACACTGTAACATATAACGTGTATTGCCTATCGCCTATGTGCACGGCGCCTTACCGGTAGAGCGAGTAGGCGACCCGCCCGCACTCGTGCGTGCGGTACAGCATAACTACAGAGGTGAGCGGGGCTAATCAGCCACCTGGTACACGAAAATTCCTCGTGAAAATGCCCTCTGGGTATGGTTATTGTCGTAATTTTGGCCTGTTTGCACCAGAGCACTTTTCACATATCTGCTGTGTCTTCGTCCATAAAAGCATTAGTTTTTAGACCTGATTTATTTAACACCTTTGAGTCCCACCACTCTGCCACCATGGACTTAACGTGTTAAAGAATAAAATTATATACGCTTGATTCTAGTTTAATTCTTAAATGTTTATTATTGTGGCAAACGTCGCCATTTTTTCTAATAAATCTCTACTATAAGAGGGTTCCCATAAGACCGTGCTGGCGGGGTAGCAGAGCAGAACGTTTGCTCTTCAATTTTTCATACTTTCCTTGAGGAGACCCCCGAACTTTCGCCCACACGTATAGAAGGGAGGCCAAGAAAGGGAGGAGAGGGGGCAGGTGACGTTTTAACTTGGCACGTCAGCGACGATAGCGACTGCTTGGGCGAGGGGTCGACATCATATCGGTGTGCTGTGGTGGGGCGTAGCGGGTCGTGGCGTGGCGTGGGGGGGCGGAGCGCGAGCGCACGACTCGCGAGGATGGTAGCGGTGTCAATCAACAGAGAGGCTCCTCTATGACTCATTAATCGCGGCGACTTTCAGCGGGAACGCCAACATGTGGATGCCCCATAAAGCAACAAAAAGGATGAGTGAACGGGGGAAAGAAAAGGGAGAGAGGTGTTACACTGAGAAAAGCGTTCGGTCTCTATGTTTCAAAACCTTCCAAACTAAGAGAAGTTTTGGATGATTGCAATACGACGATAGTATGTGTAGGATATTGACTTTAGACTTTGTGTTTGCATTGTGTTTGAACACGGACATTTGGTTTCGACTAAAAAGCGTACAACACCAGGATGTACAATAATTTCAGACGCTCTCAGGCCGAACAACCTCTTTGGTTTCGAACGAATATGAGGCATCCTGATAGCATGAGCCATCGCAACTAACTAAAGGAGCAGACTGGGTGGGTATAGTTTAGTTACCTTTGCAAAAAATATTTTTCTCCGTGTATATAGAAGAGAGAGGGTCGTCGCGACACTCGGGGGCCGTGCCGCGGCGGCGGCGGCGGCGGCACGCGAACCAGCCACTTTTACAATTTTTATACCGCGCCGGGTGCGGGTTGGCGCTGGACTCATGTGTCTCCGAGGCGGGGCGGGGCGGGGCGGGGCGTGGAGCCGGTCGCATGATGTAGGTCGGTCACTGCGTAGCATTTGCCTGCTTATTATGTCCACCTCCGTGGCCGCGCGGCTGGCTTGGAAGGACGTATCGCCGGACTATATTATTATTAAACTTCGTGTGAACGGCGCCTGCCGGGCCATGGGTCCTCCCCCCCCCCCACCCCCGCGGGCCGTGGTGCGTTTCGGCCCATTAATAATACTCTGCTCCGCTCGTAAATTACTCACGACAAAACAGTAATAATAAGTACAACATTTCCGCGTCAAACTAACAACAACTACTCGAGTCACACAATAGCGTGTGTGCGGAAGCGGCGGCGGCGCCCGGCCTACGGCCATCGCGCGAGCTTATTGCCGTGTCGTCTTCACAACTCAACGCTTGATGACGTATCGAAGAACGATAATGTCACTGTTGTTGCGCGTATTCTCCCGGACACCCGGTATGCAAGGAGATGAGTATGATAATTTATTCATTGTAGTTGACTATGTTTCATTTGTATCTGTACAGCGAGCAACTCTTGACCACGGCGCGTCCTGGTGGTTACGCAATGGTCCTGTACAGGACATGATGGTCCACCGAAGATAAAGTCAGACACATTCAACAGACAGATTCTCTCCCCCCCCCCCACCCATATCTTCTAGGATTCTTCTCCAGAACTGGTCCTCGCGGCCGCTCGCCTTGAGTCGGGTCTTCTTGCGGAGCTACCTGCTCAGTGTCCGTAAACAAGCCGAGAGGTGCGCATCGCATAGGGGGCGAGATGCTGCTCAACGCGCTGCAGGTCCTGTCGGTGTTGCTCGTTCTCGCCTACGCGCAGCCTCCGGGTGCCTCCAGGGTGCGCGCCAGTCCCGCCCCCGAGCACGGGCACGACGGCGTCCACCGCTCGGCCCGCTCGACCCTCCCGACGTGGAGGGAGTACTTGAGGTGCGCCGCCGACAGGAAGGTGAGTTCTAAAAACTGTAAATCTGGGGTGTCCACGAGCTGTGCCACTGGCACGACCCCCAGCAGGACACCTTGAGTTTTGACACCCTTTTACTGTAGAGATGTCCAGAGGCCCAGCCAAGTTCAGGCGCCCTCTTATCGGACGCCCCTTGCCTGGGCGCCTCTGCAGATAACGGGCGCTAAAACTTAAAAGTGCGACTTGGGTCGTACAGTAACCTGGTAAATGCTACTTAATTTTCCAGCGGACAAGCGTGAAACTGTCTAAGAGCTTTACGTTTCTGATCATTGATTTTTTTTTTCAATTTCAATTTTTTCATTTTTTCTGAAAGAGTTTCACATTTTTCCGAGTAAAAGTTGCTCAGTTTAAAATTCCACTGTTGTGCTGCAGTGCCACGTGAGGGCGGGCTCCTGCCTGTCGGAGGACTTCGCGTGCAACGAGATGGCCGCGCGGACCTGCCGGTGCGACTGCCTCGGCTACCCGGGCGCCGGCGTGGACCGCGACGCGTGGGACGACTGCCTGGAGGACTGCAAGAGCGCGGCGTGGCCTTGCGTGCGTGAGTGCGCGAACAGGGACTGGAGCTGCAGGAACCTGTGCCGCCTCCGCTGCCGCTGCGAGTGCATCGGCGGCCAGGTGAAGAACCAGACCGCGGCCGCGGCCACCGGGACCGGGAGCTAGGCCGTGCGACTGGAGCTGCAGTGACCTGTGCTGCCTCCGCTGGCGCTGTGTGATCGAATGCCTCAGCAATATCTCATGTGATAAATGTGCGGTGCGTGCGGCCGTGCTGCCCTCCTGCGTGAGAAGTACGGTCGCCGCGACATCCATGACCTGTGGCAGCCGCTCGGTATAGGAGTCCAGGTTAGCCGGTCCGGCTGGGTCGGCTAATCTGGACTCCTTGCCGAGCAGCTGCCACAGGTCATGGATGACACGGCTATCGCACAGTGGTCTGGCGGCCGGCATTATGTCGAAAATGCCAAATTGTATTTAGGGTGTTGCTATTATAATATTGCATTTAGCGAAAGTGCAACTGTACCGCGTGTTCGTACATTGTTTTATGCCTTCTTGTCCCTACTACTACCGCCACTTCATAGATACAATCTCATCTCATCAACTGCGACTATTTCCGGCCGCTCGGCTCGGGCCGGCTCTCCTCTAAATCACCTCATAATTTTAACCTCAAGTTGACAAATAGTTTCCGATCGGTACCGAACCAGCAAAAACCCTTTTACAGATTTAAAGAAGAGTTTAAACTGCGAAACTACAGGTTGAAAGAAGAGTTTAAACTGCAAAACGACTGTAGAACTTTCTAGTTTCGCAGCAGTGATAACAATAAGCTATTTCAGAGAAATGGGAAAGAAAAACAGCACGACTAGCAAGGTGGCACGTGATTCGTCGCCCGGTTTCCCCCTCCAACTTAGCGACGAATCACAGGCCTCCTTATTATTCGTGCTGTTCTTCTTGTCCATTTCTCTGAAATAGCTTATTTCCTCCGACCTGGTGATTTTTCTAAAATCCAAAAAAGTACCGGTCCGACCCATTTTTCACCGGAAAAAATGTTCTCTAGTCGCCGTGGGCCAACGAGTTGGCGAGGGCCGTCCGTTGCAGCACTTCCACACAGGTGGTTGCAGGTGGTGGCTAAACTGTCAATCTTCGGGTGAAATTCGTGAAAGTAGAAGTGTTATTTATTTTGATTAATTGTAGGATGTAGGAAATCTAGTGGACGGGTTGGCTGCCACCACCTATCTTCGACATTGATGTCAGTTTTTTCCGTTGAAGTCTGAGAGATATCTTGCACAGTCAATCGCTGTGCTCTGCTTTGACTGCCCAGGGAGGTTATGGCTCCCCATTCATTCAACAGATTGTTGCAGAAGTTGAAGACCAGGACATCTTATATCAGGATGTCAATAAGGTTAGTAGAATTTTTGTACTCCACTTGAAGTCTCTTCTCTCCTTCCTTTCTCTTTCCTACTTTATTGAAAATCAAAAGAATCCAATGAATCAGAGATACATTGTGCTAGACAACTCCGTGGGTTATTGATCTGCTTCTAAAGGAATAGTAATCGTTAATAGGAATGAATTCCTTGAAAGGACAATTATTGTGCTTGGTTGAGGGACAAGAAGATTGTTAATAATACTTTTAACAATCAAGGTCCTAACACATCGTGGACTTTTTAAAAGAAAACTTTTGCTATGTCATTACAATTTGATAGGAAACTGTGTTTGGGAGGACGGACGGTCCTTTTTCTCATGTACAGTCAAGTCTGCGTCCTTCACCACTAGTTTTTTGCATAACGGACTAGAATCTTAATTGGAAAGTTCAGAACCAGAAGGTTCTGTATAGATTTTGTTTCAGTTCAGAATTTTTAACACTGCTCTTTGTTTAATATGGGGGATGAAGGAGACCCACCCTAGGGAGCAATACTTAGTTTTACCAATTCCCTGATCAAGCAGCTTAATACCTGTATTGAATATTAAATACCTATGTATTTAATGAGCATCACCGTCCAATATGACATTGTTATTTGTAAACTAAGGAAGGTATGCCAGAAAAATACCAAGGACATTTCCTGAAATTTACTGCTAACGACCGCGTGGTCTCTATAGTGTGTACTTGGGAGAACACTGGAATTGCATCGATTTCACGTAATGCTCAATAATGGTCATTTAAATGTATGGAATCGGCACCAGCCCCACCTTATGGTGACAATAACACGGTAGTTGGAGGCAAGCTGCCATCGTCACCAACCATGGCGCCAACGTGGATAGGGTGGCGAGGCGTGGCGGGCCGCGGCCGCCGCGGCGTGGGGCGTTGCGCGGCCAGTACGGTACGTTGGCACACTACGTGACTGCGGCAGATCTGGGTGGGGTGGGAGGGGGAGGGGGCAGAGAGGGAGGAGGGAAGAAAAAGGAAGAGGAAAAGTCTTGGAGAGAGAGAGAGATGGCCGAAAAGGGGAAAAAGGGGAGAAAACCGGCAGCAGCCGGGCGGCAGAGAGCGAAGGCCAGGCCCAGGCCGACCGACGATATGACTGCGCTGGGAATCGTTTAGTTCCGCCATTTCATTGCGAAACTCGTGTGGAGAGCGGGGCGAGGCGTGTCAGGGTGGGTGGGGCGGGGCGGGGCGGTGGGGCGGAAGGAGGGCGGGATGGGGGCCGCGCACTCGTCGCCCTGCACGCCCTGCTCTGCTGCAGCGCGCCGAGGGTTGGTGCCCCCCCGAGCAAGGCTGATGCTGATGCCACGGACGGGATGCGTACCCTTTATTTTTCGAAACAAATTTAGATCTAGTAGTAGAAGAGACGTTTCCGTAGAGGAATCAACTGCAGGCGAAAGTTGATTGCTCAGTCGATAGTTGTAAAAAAGGAAAATTTTTAAACTAACCTCGGGAGTTTGGGTGTTTCCGGATAATGCAAAGTTACGCACTAAAATTTTATGAACATTTTTTTCATAGCTTATTATAGTGAGTTCTGTAAACATGTTCCGTTTACGCATTTTTAATACGCCACTATGATCAAATTTCTTTATTTATTCAGCCTTAAAATGTCGATTGAAGGCTGAATATAAGCTGGAGGTTGTTTTGGGATTTTCAGAAAAAATGCTATTTTTAGTCATTTCTGGGAAAAATTGATTCTGCTACATAGACCCAGATATCGAATTGGGCACGAATTTTCATCGCCAATCGTTTAGTATACGGTCACCCTACAAAACCACCAAGGCGGAACAAAATCGGGGACTATAACACTCAGATGAGTAGTCCCCTTGTTAGCAGCATACATCGACTCATTGTAGATTGGCACATTTTTCATGCTCTTGTGTTTCCAGACGCCGGTCCAGACGCGGCTGGGATGCTGCGCTCCGCCCTCATTACCGGGCCGCGGGGCGGCGGCTGCGGGACGTGGAGGGCTCATCTCGTTACCATGCGCGTTTTTCTCGGTGAGCGGCGCGGGTCATCCCCTGGGCGGAACGCCCCCCGCCTCCCCCG